TAATTGAAATGTCTTTAAATCCACATTAACATGAATTCAACACACTGTAGTAAAGAGATAAATGGAGGCAGAAGATGTCTTTCAGTCATCAATGCCAGTGGCGGTTCTAGACTAAATGTACCAAGGGGCCAGGAGGGGGCCAGAGTGTTTTCATGGGGGGCCAGAAAAACATGAAATAAAAAAAACAGTGTAAGGGATTGAAATATATAAAAAGAGCTGCATGAAGTGAAATTTCTATTCAATAAGGATTCATTAAAATTCTATGTCTCTTTAGGTCATAATACATTCAGAATTTAGGGTTTTTACTTATGTTTAGATTAATTGAAGTTAAAATTATTGTTTTCACAAAATCTCAATAAAACTCAAGAAAACTGATAAATTTAGCTGAAAAATTTAAAGCAATTTGTTTTGAATAAAAAATTTAGCAGATGAAAACTGGGATCCTATCTCGCTACCACTGAAGCAATCACCTTATTGTTTTTAAATGATTAGTAAAACAGAATTTTTTTTTTAGGAAAAAAAGAAGAAATAAATCCAAAGGAGCTATCAGTAACCATATCTGTTCCAGCGCAGATTATTGTTGGAATTTCATTGAGTATTATGTCTTCAGTACAGGGGCCAGGATATGATCTACAGGGACACCGGCCCCCGTTGGCCCCTATATAGAACCGCCCATGCACAAATTCAGCAACAAACACAGGAGCTTGGCAATGTTTCATTCACAACACCTGTCCCATCAACCAGGAATCAGAAATACTTTAATTATCCCAGGGAGAAAATACTTTAGTTACATTACTCCATCTGTAATAGAGTGACTATAGGACCAGTTTGATAGAACACTATTTCAGACTATATATCTAATTAGGGGTCCCTGCTCCATCTCACCATCAGTTTGGGGGTTTTTGGCCTGGAAAACGTTGAAGACCCCTGATTTAGAGGAATCAGTTGGATCCATCAGGGATTATCTCTAACGTTCTGCTCTCTCTGCTTTTTCTCATAGTAGCTTCATCTGGTCTGTTCCTGTTTGGCTGTGACTCCATCCTGGAGAGAAA